GCAGGTAATAAAGATTTGATTTTTAATTTTTTCTTTTTATTTATTTATTTTATTTTTTGGTACCGGGAATTGAACTCATGACTTCGCGCTTGCCAGGCGGGCACTTTTGCCACTGAGCTATATCCCTGGCAAGATTTGATTTTTTAAGTTGAAAGTATTTATTTTGGATTAGCATTATAATAGTCTCAGATATTTCTGCTGCATGAAATATTTGGTCTACATTTTATGATTCAATAATTGCTGTTTTAAGTGACCTTGATGTGGATGTGTACAAAAAAGCAATTCAAAGATAAAATGTTATTGCTTTGTGTGTAGCTAGGTATATTTAAATCTTTCCCAGTATTATAAATGTCAAAATTACTTCTAACATCTAAGTTTTGGAATTTCTACATTTCAGGATCAAAGGATACGCAGTTATATTTTTACAGTTTTTGCATTTATACTGTATATGATGATAGAGTTTCAGGCTCTTGTATGTAGGACATTTTTCAGTTGAAAGAAATTGTGTTTTGCCCCTCATTTAAAACACATTGGATTATAATCACTAAATACTTTACCTTTGTAACACTAGTTTTTTGTTGTCCTAGAAACATGTTTGTATATTTTTATATCATTTGATTAGTGAGGGTAGGGGATGAATTTAGCTCCTACTTTTAGGATCATAGTTAGATACATTTGTAAAACTATTCTTTTTTGCATTCATTAACACAGTCAGTAATCCCTGAGTTTCTTATCTGTCACTAACAACCCATTATTTATATAAATAAAGCAATATATCGAAGCATACAGCTGAAAATAAAACAACTTGAAATTGCATAATAGTGAAAAGCACATCATAGCATGCGATTATGTGAATCAGCTGTGAGCCCACTCAGGTGGTTTACTTACTTCATCCTCCTCGTGCTGGATGAAGGCCTAGGATCATCCTTTTAAAAGCAGAGTATTAGGCTGGATACTGTGGCACATGCTTGTCATTGCAGTTATCTGGGAAGCTGAGGCAGGAGGGTCACAAATTTGAGCCCAGCCAGGGTCACTTAGTGACAGCTTGACTCAAAAAAAGAAAAAGGGCTGGAGCCAGGGATTTAGCTCAGTGACACAAGTGCCTTCCTGGCATGCACGAGGTCATGAGTTTGATCCCTGGTTCCAAAAAAGGAAAAAAAAAAAGACTGGAGATGTGGAGCAGTGTCAGGGTACTTGCTTAGTACGAGTGATGCCTTCGTTCCAATGCTCAGTACCACAAAAAGTAGGTATTAGAATAACCAACTAGTGTTTAGAAACTGATCCTGATGTTTAAATTTCACTTACAGTTCTCAAGTATCTTGAAACCGTTTTGGGAATTCCTGGAAATTCAGGATTACCACTTGTGGAGAAGTGTCGTATCAGGGTATCTCGAGGTTCTAAACAAGTCTAGTGTTCTAAAAAGCCCATGATAATTTGAAAATTGGTGCCAACTTGTGCAGTTTCTATCGAAGTTGTAGAGATTTGGTGATACTGCTTCTTACTACAGAAGGCAGCATCGGTCTCCCAGTAACAGGCAGCCACAAACTTCTGCAGTGATTTCCTGTACCTTGTGGGAAGATACTTTTGAAGCAAATCATGCTTTTTTTATTTAAAAGGAAAAAAAGAAAAAACAAAACAAGACAAAACAGTGTAAGGGTACAAGTAATACAGGACTACAAAAAAAAAAAAAAACAGTAAGAAATCACCAGTTAATAGATCACACATTGTCATTTTAGGAATAGTTGCTCAAGTCACAGGATCAAAGCACACAAAGTGGACATTCAGACAGTGAGACTGCAAACAGTTGTGTTCAATAATCCAACAAAATCTCCATAATATGGTCGTTTATCCTAACACACCTAAACACACTTGCAGTTATATCCTTTAGAGCACTTTTTTTTCCCTCTCTTTTTTTTACAACAAAATTTACACATTTTGGGTTTTATTACTCCCATAGTTCTTATTACTTTTTTTGGAAGAAAATAAAACCAAATATGACAAAACAAAGCTGTCAGTCAAAACCAAGGATAGACATCGTACAGGATGTAAAAACAGAGTACAGGGTTATCAACAATGGTTACCATAATGCCACTTGCTTCCTTAAAAAGAATTGCCTATATCATTAGGTATAATTAAGTTGAACAAAACAGTACAGAACAAGACCAATAAAACCTAAACATTGTAAACATTACAGGACTTCAAAAGAAGATAATAGTCAAACCAGAATGGGCATCATAGTGAATCTTACTGCCTTCAAAGTAGTTGCCTATACCCTCAAACTTGATACTATCAAACAGGGCAGAACAGAGTCTAATCAGTCAAAACAAGATAGTGGAAGTAATACAGGACTTCAAATCAAGTTAATAGGAAATCAAAAAAAGTTGCTATAATATACCCTGCTAATTTTTCCCCTTAATTAAAAAATTAATAAATAAATAATTTTTTAATGAATAAGGGGGAAAGTGAGATAAAAGAGGACATAGCAAATCATGCTTTTAATAAAGATGCTATTTCAGAAAAGAAATCTGTTTCTAGGTTTACTATTTGCAAATCAATAATTTCTTTGATTATAAAATTAGTACTCCTTTTAGTTCTTTCAAATGCCTCCTACATTTTGTACTTTAGATTTGATTTAAGTGTTTGTATTTACCCCTGATAATTTTAATACCAAATCCTTAGCTCTTCTTTTGCCAAGCTGAGTTTGTATGCTTTTCGTTTGTTCTTATATAGCAAACTTCCCATGTCTTGTGTCATTATACCATGTTACTGAACTCATATAACCTTGGACAAGCTCCCTATGGAGATTGTTTCTCCATCTATGAAGATGTATGAAGAAGATGTGCATACCTATAGCTGTTGAAGGGATTAAATAACACCATCTGTAGTGTTTTACTGTACCTAGCTTATGAGAAGTAGTCTGTAAAAAGTTTTATCTGCCATCCGTACCATCATCTCAATTCCTAACTTCCAAAACTATGAGATCTGTTCCTTAATAAAGATGCAAGAAACATAACTTTTTCATGGAAAAAGTTAGTTAGCTGAATATCTTAATTACTTTTCTGTTGCTAAGACAAAATATCCAACACCAAAAGTTAACGAGGAAAGGTTTATCTAGCTCACAGTCTGTAGAAGTTTCAATCCATAGTCAGGGTGATTTTGTAGAGGAAAAAATTTTCATGGTGGGCAGGAGGAAGCAAAGCAATGAAGGGAGGCAAGTATAGTTCTTTCTGTGTCTTATATCATATCTAGGCTACTCAGGGCAGGTATCCCAGTGCCCTTGATTACACACACTCTAGATCTAGCCACCTCTTAAAAAGACCCACCTATGACCACATGAGGCTTGAGGGGGCATTCTGACACAAGCCATAACAATAAATAATATATATCACATATATAAATGACAATTTTTCAAATATACAAAATATTATGAGTAATAAAAAACAGCTTCATTAACAGTGTTAAAAATTCATAGTAACTTTTTGATATAACTTTTCTAATATCATGGAGTTTTTAAAAAATTAATTTGATTTGTGTTGATATCAATGCAGTTCTTTCAACTTGGAATGACTGAGCCCAGTGTCTTTATCATTGTTATATTTCTTTTCTGTTGGGTTTTTCCAGTACCATCCCCACTATTGAAGTCTGATGATCCAAACTATAGGGCAGTTTATGTGGATCGCATCTTCAGACAGGGTTTTAGTAGATTTGTCTTTTTACTTCCCGTATGCCGATGACCTCCAGTTATCTGCTGGCATTTGGTTAAAATCATACGAATTGATGCTAGAAGAATCTAATGCTGTTCATCCCCCCTTTGCACTGGGTCCTGTCCCTCAATTTGTAGGTGAAGGCTTAGATATTCATTCTCCATCTCTCCATATTTTCCTCCAGTTTTCCCTCCCCGAAATAGCATTTATCACATAGTGTTTGATCTCTGGTTGCATGGACAGAAACTCAGATGAGAGTAGTAACCTAGATGAAATGAAGGAATTGTTAGAGGAATTCCAAAGCAAAAGCTTACATGAATAAACCATGGACAAGCAGGTGCAGCCAAGCTCCTGGGATCCAACACTGCGAGGCCCCCTCCCAGCCCTGCCATCTCTGTTCTCATGGTCAGGAAGCAGTGGGGGCCACAGAGCATGAACCATGTTTTTTCTGGCTCTGTGTTTAGAAATCCCAGGGAAAAGCTTCAGTTAGCCTGTTTTATGACAGCCATCTGCATCAACCAACTCTGGCCAGAAAGAGGGGACATTAAAGTGGCCCAGCTTCAGTCCAATGCCAGCTCCAGGTCAATCTGAAATAAACTTTCCCAGGGAGTTGGAGGATTAGCATGCAGAGAGGACCCGTCCCCGAAGAGGACCAGCTGTCCTGTATCAAACTGCTGTTGGGATGATTGGTTCTTGCATTCTCCTGAGTGCGATGTGAGTTTTTAGAGAAAGGCACATTGTGTTCAGGGCTGTGTCCTCAGGCCTATTGAGTATCTGTTGTAAATATTTGTTGATGAGGCAATGAGCTAATGAACTAGTGTGGATGGTGTATAGTGATTGCACCCAGTTTTGTCTTGTTAGTCCTAATGAAAACAGACTGACAGTTCTAAGTTCTAGTGCTGACCCGTCCATTTGTGAGTCTCTGAACTCTCAGCTTCGGTCTCTTGCTCTGTGATGCTAAGAGCACCTCTCCCTGGCCACTGATCATCCCATGTAGATTAAGTGACTTTGCTCTTAAAATAAGATTTGTCACATGCACCCAAAAATTACATGCACACATCAGAATCTGCTGTGTGTTCATCACTGCCTCACTGTGACCAGAAAAGACAGAGCTATCTTTTTGGCTGACTCAGATGGTAATACTACTTTTGAGTGTCTTGTCACATAGGATTCATTTGTCTTCTGATTGAGGTAGAGAGAGACTAATTTTGGTGTCAGCTGAATAGTGACTCCTACTCACCCAGTGTACAAGTGGACGTAACCTCCCTAAAAGTAACTCTTTTAACTCATTTTTAGGTTTTTGTCAAGCAGGAAAGGACCTGCGTCTGGTGTCACTCTGTATGGAGCAGATCGACATCCCAGCAGGGTTCCTTCTGGTGGGGGCCAAGTCCCCCAATCTTCCTGAACACATCCTGGTCTGTGCTGTGGATAAGCGCTTTCTACCGGACGACCATGGGAAAAATGCACTTTTAGGTGAGTCCTTCACCATGTATATATAATGGGATTTGTTGGGGCTTGCATAGTCCAATTCAAGTATGAAAACCTTTTCCTCTGAATAATTTTTTAAAAGTCAGTTTACAAGTCAGGTACAGCAGCTCACGTCTGTAACCCTAGCTACTCATGAGGCAGAGATAGGAGGAGGAGCACAAAGTCAAGGCCAGCTTAGGCATTTTTGAGAAACCTGGTCTCAAAAATGAAAGGATAGGCTGGGGATTTAGCTCAGCGGCATAAGCACCTGCCTTGCAAGCAGGTGGTTGTGAGTTCAATCCCTGGTACCGATAAAAATGAAAAAGACAAAAACAAAAAAAAATATGAAAGGATAGAAGAAAGGAAGGGAGGAGGACAGGACAGGACAGGACAGGCAGGTGGGCTGGAGATGTAAGTCAGTCCTGTCTGGATGTAATCTTTTATTTTTCGGTACCAAGAATCAAACTCAGGACCTTGTGCTTACCAGTAATCCACAGTAATATACAGAGAAAGAGACAGACAGAGACTTTGGGGGCCTAATGTAAGAAGCAGCTATCAACTTATCAAAATCAGTATTTCAGTGCTGGGGGTATAGCTCAGTGATAGAATGCTTACCTGGTTTGCATGAAACCTGAATTCTGTCATCAGTACTAAAAGAAAACATAATACAAAGCAGAATTTATTCTGTATAGTTTTCAACATCAACCTCAATTATTATATCACCTCTCAATTATTCATCTATGGATTAGTCACTTTGTGTAAGGGCGTTTAGAGTTTTCCCATACTACCCACTAGTCCTATCAGTGTTTGATGGGTATGAGTCTCATTTCCTATTTAAATATTAACTCACCTAGATAACTTGGGAATGCAGAAGTGGAATATATAAACCTCAGAATTCATAATATATAAATGAAAAGTGTAATAATCTTATTTATAAACATATAAATAGGAATGTACAATAACAAGCCTATTTATAAACATATATAAAAAGGAATATATAAAGTCAGAATAGTTTTACTTTCTGGTATGATGGAAGAGTCCTGACTTTTTTACAACAGATGATGCTTCTGTGCATCAGAAATAATGAGTTGAATTTTTTAATTTTTAATAATTGAAGAGACAAGAGGGCACACGAAGTTTGTTGTTTTCTGTTGTTATGTTTCTCTGAATTTCTTCTTTTTCTCCCTGAAGTCCTTTTTGTTTCTTAGAATTTCTTTTATTTATATGGAATCAGATGTTTTAGGCATAAATATCAGGAAAAAGAAAAATAGAGGGCAAAGAATTGGAATGTCATATTGATCAGGAGATGACTTCCTTTTCTGTTTAAGTTGATGCCGTCTTCCCAGTTCTACACTATCATCAGAAATTCTAGAAATGCATCAGTATTTTGAGCCAGAAAACGACCCTGCAATGCTTTATAAAAAGCTTCTTAAATTCTAGTTTAGTACCATCTGATTCATAGAAAAAGAAATGATAATTTTTATATTTCATAAGACTCTCAGAAGATAATATACTCACCTTTTCTTTTAGTGAAGCTGAGCACAGGGTTTAATATAGAAGTCTAATGCTAAAGCTTCTTATTTGATCCAGCCATTTATTTGTTCACCCATTCAGTAACGTTTACTCACAGTGTACTGTAGCACTCAGACTACACAGGCCATGGTGTGGAGGTACAGAAAGCACAGTTGTTTCCCTCACTGAGTTTAGGACTAATTGGTGGTGCAGAAGAAGTTTTTAAAATATTTTAAGCATTTTAAAAACATTATCCTCTAATGAAATAGGCCAGGTAGAGCTCTGACTATAGAAGGTGCAGCCTCTTTCATAATGCTATTGTGCTCAGAGATTCTTCCTGACTACAGGAATCCTCTTAGAATAGACCGTGGAAAATGCCATCAGAATAGTGCTCCTCATAGTCCTGCATAATCAGGTCATGAGACCAAGACCATGGGCTTCAGAGTCACATGAGTCTAAATGTCATATCTGCCACCTGGTGCTTAATGAACCTGAAGTCGCAGATTTCTCATCCATACATAGTAATCAGTAAACTGGGCATGGTGGTGCCTACCTGTAACCCCAGAACTCTGGGAAGCTGAGGTAGGGTTATTACAAGTGGAAGCCCAGCCTTGCCAATTTGGCGAGATCTTGTCTCAAAATAAAGAATAAGGAGCTAGGGTTCTGCCTCTATGTGAAAGCACTTGGTTTAATCCCCAGTACCACGAAAAAGAAAAAAGAAAAAAGATATGGTGGAGGGGAAGGCAGTGTGAGGGGTCTTGCCATGTAGTTCAGGCTGGCCTTGAACTCACTATGTAGCCAAGGCTGGCCTGGAACTCATGGAGATATTCCTGCCTCAGCCTTCTGAGTGCTGGGATTACAGGTGTGTGCCACCACACCTGGCAAATTGCTCTTTAAATTGTAGCTATTCTATTGTATTTATTCAGTATCTATATAGACTTGGAAACTGTCCTGCTGTCTCTAACCAACAATATGGTCGTTAATGTTTCTTAAATAATCACACCACTGAGAGTCTTACAGGGTTAGTACTCTGCGTCAAAAAAGTGAACATTTTTTATTATGATGGATGATTTTAGCATACATTAAGACAGGGAAGTTTTGTGAGATTTGGATATTCTAGAATCTCTGTGGACTCAAGTATCAATTTGTCTAAATTTTTATATAAATTATGCAGATTTCAAAGACTGTGAGGAGATTGATTTAAAAATGTATTGATCCAATTGACAGTGCTTGTACCCCAAATCTACCATGCAATTGGAAGACGTGATTGACAAAAAAAAACTAGAAAGGTAATTCAGCTGTAAGCAATGTTTTTTTTTATTACTAATGATAGCATGAACTTTGAGCAGATGAAAATCTGTCTTGAACAAATGATGCTGAAAACACACAGAATATTCAAGATGAACTGAAGCAGCATTCTGTTTCTTTCTTTCTCTTTTTTAAGGAAGCTAAAAGAAAAGTTTTCTTGGGGAATAGGAGAGAGGACAAGGAATAGTTCCTGAGAGACAGGAAGGGCCCTGCCTGGGTCGTGTGCGTGTATTAACCATCTTTTTTTTTTTTTTTTTTTTTTTGTCTTTTTGAGACCGGGTCTCACTATGCAGTTCAGGTGGCCTTGAGCTCACTTTGTAGCCCAGGCTGGTCTTGAACTAGCAATGATCCACCTGCCTCAGCCTCCTGAGTGCTGGGGTTTCAGGAGTGCAATACCATGCCCAGCTTAACATCATTTTTGATGGGAAGATTTTTTTGCTCTATTTTCCAGACCCCTTGCTTTGTTCATCCTCAAATTCTTGCTTTTCATCTCAGAGAATATGCGTGGAGGAAATGATAAAACCCAGCCCCAATAGTGTGTTCATTCTAATTCTTTTTTTTTTTTTTTTTTTTTTTGTCTTTTTGCTTTTTATCGGTACCGGGGATCGAACTCACGACTGCCTGCTTGCAAGGCAGGCGCTTATGCCGCTGAGCTAAATCCCCAGCCCCGTTCATTCTAATTCTTACACTAGTGTTTTCTGAAGGGCCGTTGAGCCCTGTCCTGGATTACTTCAGCTGCCTCACAGAGCAGGCAGTTTTCCATCCGCACATGGTGGTCACACCTGGACGCAAGGTCCACAGAGAGGAGCGTTGCCTGTCTTGTTCTGTGCTAAAGCCTGGCACCTGAAACAGCCGCAGATACAGCACAGTACCCGTGTTTGGTCAATGGTGGAAGAAGGATGTCTTTAGAAACTTTGTGAACAAGGCAGTCGCTGACAACTTCTTTTTTTGTCCTGTAACTTCAATTTATTGCAAAATGGACAAGTACTCTCAAATACAACCCATTCCTAAATATATTTGAAGTCACTTATAAACTTATACAAATGTTCATAAGTCTGTAAGGTGGTGATAATAAACTATACATTTCTACCTAGTTAACCAAAGGTTCTGATTACCTCTTTTCATCACTTTTTCTCTAGTGTTTGGAAAAATGCCTGGCCTGTAGGCAGGTGCTCAGTAAGTAAATAACTGTTGAATGATAAAGTTATTTTGGACTTCTCACTTATGAATGCTTTGAATTGATTGTCAGCCTGTAAGGTGAGGATATTGTGAGACATCCTCTTTAATCTGTGTGGTCTTTCTGCTTATCTTTGTCACCTATATACCAGGTTGACTTTAGGGGTTTGAAACAGTGTCACCAGTGAACTTATTTCAGTTGCTTATTTGTATATAGATACATTGTCTCTTCATATGGAATGCTTTTCTTATTTTCTTTTTGCATTGCTTGGGGATTAAACCCAAGGTTTTTGTATTGAGTTACATCAAAGCCCTTTTATAATTTAATTTTTTTTTTAACTTTGAGACAAGGTCTTGCCAAGTTACCCAGGCTGGCCTTGAACTTTGTGAGCCTCCTGCCTCAGGCTCCCACAGTACTGAGATTACAGGGGTGCACCACCACACCAAGCTTATTGGCATCTGTTGTCCTATTCATCTTACACACTCATCAGACACAGCTGAAGCAAGTCAGTACTTGCCGGCCTTGTGTTCTAAGAGGAATTGAAAGGTTGATTTCTAATACAGGAAGGCCTGGCCGCCTCTGTTTCCTCTGCCAGCATCCCCTGCTCCAGGGCGGTGTCTGAAAGCTTTGCTTTGTTTAACTGGCTGCAGCAGGCACTGACCTGAAGGATAGCAGCTGGCTGGCCTGAGTGGAGGGAGGGTGATTAGAGAGGTAATGGGGATCCCAGGGAGCTCCTGACCAGAAGCTCAGCTGGCCTCACAGAGCTGGAGCTTGCAGCCCGTCGTCCGGGGAGGCCCCCCGGTGTCCCCTTCCCGGCCAGTGGTGTGTTCTCTCCCACTCCTCGGCTTGGTGTGGTAGGCACAGCCGACCCAGGAGTACTGACTTGCTTCATCTGTGTCTGATGAGTGTGCAAGATGAATAGGACAACAGATGCCAATAAGCTTGGTGTGATGGTGCACCCCTGTAATCTCAGTACTGTGTTAATTTTACCAAGCCTTACAAATCCAGAGTCCGATACCCCCTGGATGACTTTCTGTTCATTTCAAAATGCCAGTGGAAGCCTCTGTCTGGCCCTGGTTGGCTCGGATCCTGCCACGGTGAAGGGGTGCGTTGGTCAGGGCGGAACCAGGCCCGGGGAGGAGCATGGGAGCAGAGCAGCGCACAGCTCAGGATCAGCGTTTGCAGTTTATTCTGGAGCCTCTAAATCCTATTGCGTGATACTATGCAGTCTGTCTCTCAGCCGTCCTTTTAGAGCAACATTTAAATTACTTCTTTGTCCAGTGTTATAGAAATTTTTTGCACCTGTTTTTTTACTTTGAATTATTTTACTTGAATTGTGACTGACATTAAGTCAAGGGGTGTGAATATTTCCGGAGTTGTTTGTTTATTTGCTTGTTTTGACATAAAACGTATTGTATCAGCCTGGCATGGTGGTACTTGTTTGTAATCTCAGCAACTTGAGAGGCTGAGACAGGAGGATCTTAAATTCAAGGTCAACACAGCAAGATCCTATCTCAGAATAAAATATTGTGAGATATTTCAGAGATACCACTGGAGTGGTAGAACATGTGCCTAGCATGTGCAAGGCTCTGGGTTCAGTTCTCAGTACGACCACAAAAAAACCCAACAACAACAAAAACACTTTAGAAGGCCACCAGTAACATTGGATTCCTCATTTCAGGGTTTTCTGGAAACTGTATCGGCTGCGGAGAAAGAGGATTTCGGTATTTCACGGAATTTTCCAACCACATTAACTTGAAGCTCACCACCCAGCCAAAGAAGCAGAAGCACTTAAAGTACTACCTAGTCAGAACCTCCCAGGGTGTGCTGTCCAAGGGACCGCTTATCTGCTGGAAAGGTAATCCCTTCCAGGAAGAAATGGACCGGAGTGGGGCCTTTATGATGGGGACAAGGCCATTCAGGGTTCAGAGTTCAGGTGCAATACAGATAAATAGCCCAAGTTCAGAAGGCTGAGGAGAAAATGTAAACCCGACAGCTTACTGGGTTTGCCTGTTGTTGTTTTCAAGAGACTCTGCAGTTAGGCAAATGCACGACTCCAGGAAACAGTGTGCTCTGGGAGGGTAAATGAGACCCTTTCTAATTCTCCTGCCACTTAGCAGGACCTCCAAGTGGCTTATGTTTTCTTACTTTACTTCTTTGGTAATTTTCAGGCATCTTCATTTTCCTATTTTAATTGGACCAGCATACCTTGAATAAATAATGCAGTCTTCGTAATAGCTAGGAAAATACTCTATTAGACTGGCAAACTATTTTTAAAATTTGGAACAACTTAACTGCACTATCTGTAAAAATGAATCCAGCTGATAGTAAATTCAAACCCAGTCTGAGCAACTTAGTGAAATAGTGAAACCCTGTCTTAAAATCAAAATTTAAAAAAAAGAAAAATGTACCTCATTGTGTAGGCCCTGAGGCCTCCCCAGTACTAAAATCCCCAGTATTGAAAAAAAAAAATAAGAAAAAATCCGCTTGAAGCTTGACGTTTTCACATGTTGATAGAAACTGTTATAGGACCTGGCATTGTTCTAATGCAGTGGAGCATCTAATCCGTATTCTATTGAAGGGTTTTTTAGACACTGAGATTTTTTTTGTCATCATAGAATAATTGTCTATCATGTTTCTATTCATTGCCTCTATAAGATTTTTGCCTGACCATGAAAAATAGCATAATAAATTCAAATTATTATAGCAGATTTGTCTTGGAGCTGTTCACCATAATTATTCTTGATTGTATTTGAAGCACGGTTGTGTAATTCCTTACAAAACAGCTGCATGTTTCAAGCTGGGTGTCATCAAAATTTAAAATTTCCAGCCACTGGATCATAAACATGGTGAATTATAGACTCTTTATTCTAGTAAATTCTGACAGGTAAAAACAAAGTAGGTGTTATGTCTTTACTTTTCAGTTTTTTTTTTTTTTTTGGCAAGTGTATTTATTAAGATATCTTTAACTCTTTCTTTAATACTTAATGAGAATTCATCTTTCTATTAAAGAATAGCAATTTGTTAAAGAAGCTTCATGTTTGTAGTAATTTAGAAATGGATTTGTGTTTATATTTTGTTTATATGAGTATATAAAATTATATGTTTATATGAGTATATAAAAATACACAATATCAAAAATATATATATACACACATACAACAGCATAATGTGGAAATAGGCTTGTAGGCCAAAGTACAACAGCTTTTTATAGAAGGTCATAGGTTAGATGTTTGAGAAATCAGCTTCAGCCCTTGTATGTATCCTATCAATCTGGAAGCCCTCTCCAGAACCCCCTAAGTTAACTTTGTCGTATACAATCATTTCTATTCCTATTTTGTGTGCTGAAACTACTATACAGTAATTTGCTTGGATCTTCTCTCTACTTGAATTAATGCAAAGTACTGTTGAGATGTCCTACCAGAGTCTTACTGGTATCAGATACTTAATAAGAGGTTTAGCTGGGCATGGCGGTGCATGCCTGGGATGCTAGCACTCAAAAGGCTGAGGCAGGGGAATCACCCAAAGTCCGAGAGCAGCCTGGGCTACATAGTGAGTTCCAGGCCAACCCGAACTACATAGCAAGACCCTTAATATGAAACTTGGAATTGCATAATTGGTAATTACTCTGAATATGCTTTCCTTTATTCAGAACTTAGAATAATAATAATAATAATTTGAGTATTTCTTTTTCTCTTCTATCTGTACTTTTTTTTTGCTTTCATGTTTGGACATAAATTAAGGTTGAGTAGAAAAGACTGAAGGTAACTTAGACAGGCTCTAGGTTACTGCTCTACTCTTGAATACTGTAGATCCTAGGCAGAAGGTTGTGCGTCTGCAGCATTTTAGGTTTAAATAAATCATTACTATTTTAGCTTCCATCTTAAACTAGCTGCACTGCAGTGTCTGTGTGAGCTTTGCGCCCCGGGAACTCTCTGAGAAGAGCTGGGGTCTGACTGCCTTTCATCCCCAGCATGGTGTCTGACTCCGGAAGAGCTGCTCATGAGCCTTCTGCTGGAGTCAGCATTAGGGCCTGGGGACAGTGGCTACCACTTACGCAGGAAGATTTGTATCCCTGTTACCAAGGTATGCCAAAGAGTGATGCCTGCATGTGATACAGTTTTTACTCCTTTTCAGAATGTAGAAGCCGACAATCCTCGACCACTTGCCACTCTATGAAACCAAACTCTTCAGCATCAGCTGTCACCCCAGAAAATGGAACAACTAATGGATACAAAGCAGGATTCACTCAGACAGGTACGGGGTATTTCCTTCGGCATTTCAACCAGTTGTATATTTAGTGGAGCATCTTTAAGCCTAGTGTTGGTGAGTTTGAATGGAAATATTTTTAATGAGGGTATTACTTGAGTTACTTGAGTATTAGAATTAGACGTCGGCGTTAGATGAGTCAGCCTGTGAGCGTGCAGGATCCAACTCCCAGGAAGCCTGCCAGGGTTAGGCAGAGGTGGAAATAGGAAATGACGTTTGGTAGGAAGTTAGTTACATGACACTAGAGGGGTCTGACTGCACAGGACGTGGGAACCCTGATGTCACAGCTCTCAGGTGGTAGATACCTGGGGTACACCGTGAAGTCTGGCATCCCCGGGGAGTCTCTACATAAACCCGCAGTGTTCTATAGGGGAGTAGTGGCCCAAGGGAGGGTGTGGGTCACAGTGGGTAACCCCAGGACCTCCTTCCCAGTGGTATAAGATAAGGCCTTGATTCCAAATCACCAGATAAAATCTTAGCGCCTGAAAAGTTACCGTATCAGAGCAGGATCAGCAGAGCCACAAATCTGACAGCAAGCAGATGAGCTCCTAGACCAGGGCTTCTAAACATTCTTGCAGTGAAGAGCACTGGCCTGGCCCTGGGTCAGGATGAGACTCCAGGGGAGATCTGCATGGCTCCAGATGATGAAAGCTGGGGAATGGGGAATGGGAAGATCCCTGCGGATAGTACTGGGGAACATTACTCCGGCATACAGTATTTAGAATTTTTGTGAATTACTTTGTTTTTTGTGCACTTCAATGTTTTTTGCTGAACTTCAATTTGTGTGTTTTGCCCATGTTCACTCAACCACAAGAATTAGAGAGAAGGCTGTCTTCACTTACTACCTAGCATTCCTCTTTCAAATTTATGTGAACTTGTGATGAGCTAATAAATTGTTTCTGCATTTTTGAGATGGAAATGATTATTAGAATATGTTAGCAGCAATACAGAGATATTAAGGCTAATTTTACCTGGAGCGCTTCTTGCTTTGGATGTGCCCATACTCAGTCCTCAGACTCAAATGAAAAAAGGTCCAACTTTTATACTGTGCAGGGGACTTAGGTAGAACCTATGACCTAAGAGGAGAGAATGTTTCTCCTTAGAATAAATAAGAGAACATCATGTTCATCTGGGTATTCAAGAAAGAAGAAGTTGGCATTTGGTTCTGGACATTGAAAGATTGGCCTCCATTGCTTTAGTGACAAACCTACATGTCTTTCCTAGAATTTTATTTTAGTAATTTGATGTATTCATTGGTATATTATCTGGCATTGGACCTTGAGTCTGATCAAGTGGAACATTAAAGCTACAGTACTAAAAATTAATTTTACTTCATTCCAACAGAAATATATCGTTTTTATTACATTCTAAGAACCTTATCAGATGCTATAAAAAAGGGGTCTAGTGATTTAAAAACCACTCAGAGAAGGGATTAAGAAACTATAAAACATACTGCTTTTGGAAAGGTGGATTATAAAAAAACAAGGTGTACCTGAAAATAATGCAAAGATATTAAAATGCCAGGAAGCCATAAAATAATTTAACTATACCAGGCAATATATTTTTGAAAACAAGTTTCATTCTGAAAGAGGAAATTGGGGTTTTGCAATGATCTTGGCTTTAGCAAAACATTCCCCAGGCTATGATGAGACACAAGCAAGGGAGAAAGAAGGTCACTAAATGGCTCAAAGTGAACACAAGAGGCCACACGTCATTCCTGTGTGTCCCCTTTGGGGTGGAAGAGACAATTTAATCATGAAACTAGTGCAATCCAGGGAATCTACTAGAAGCAAATACCTTCACAAGTAAGGCTTTGTCTCTGGTACTTTCAGATGGGTGAGTTTATGTTTGTGGATGCTGGAGTAGTCTCTTCTAACACGTGTTGAATGCGGTAGGCAGTAAGAATTCTATGTTAGCATCTCTTAAAGTCGTGGAGTAAGAATCACCTTTCCGTAGGAGGTGGCTTTTCCTTGGTCTGACTCTGCAGTCCGTCCCCACCTGGAGTCTCACTCAGCCTTCAGCGTGAGCACAGAGTTTGAAGGAGGGATGCATTTTCGCTTTACACAGCTTGACAGCTGCCAGTCTGTAGACGCTCTTTTCTGATGCCTTGCCACTTGTCCCCTGCATCTTTTCTTCCAGTATTTTTATGTTATTGATAATTCAAATTGTAGTCACCAATGACAGCGAAATATTTGTCATTTGGACTGGAAGTGACTGTGTCTACATCTGCCTCCATCATCTACCCTTGACAGATATGCATGCATGGACACATACATTGGATTTAATCAGAATAAGAATTCAAAAATAGATGAAAAAGAATTTTCTTTTAAAATTTTCTTCTAAGATTTTGAAAATGTCTATATTTTTTTTCTAAAGGCTTTATTGTTGATGTTTAAGTCTACGGACCATTTTGTGTTATTTTTTGTGCATGGTGTGAGTGAGAGTCTAACTTCATCTTCGCTTTTAACCCCACCCCTGGAGCTGAACCAAGGCCCTTCTCACTGAGCTGCACCCTGGTCCTTTTTAATGTGCTATCTTGAGATATGGTCTCCCTGAGCACCGAGTTGCCCAGCCCACATTCAGACTTGCACTTCTCCTGCCTCAGCCTCCCAGAATGCGGGGATCACAGGCAGGTGCCTCCACACTCAGCTCTATGTTCATCTTTTCACATGTGACTATGTAATTGTCCCAGGCCATTTATTAACCAGGCTCTGTCTTCAGTGAGTTGTGCCATCCTTGTATATAAATATTAGGACTAATTTATGAAAAATTGATAAAATGGTCTTCATCAAAGTTCAGAACTTTTACATTTCACTTGACCCCACTGACAAAATGAGAAGATAAACAGCAGACTGAGGAAATATTTGTAGAACACAAATCCAGGATACACATAAACAGTTGTAATCTAATAATAAGATAACAATTAATAAAAATGGGCCAAGAGATAGGTGCAAAAGCGTGTGTAGCAGTGTACCTCACAGGCTGAAAGCAATCCTCACATTCAGTGGCAGAATGAACAATAACAGTGTGTTTATGTAGGGAAGTAGCATAGGCACTGAAAATGAACAGCTGCCTTCACCCGGCACTGTGGATGAATCTTACAAATCATGATGGTGAACCATAAACGTCACAAAAGACGTGGTCCAATACTGTCTCATCTCTGTGTTTCAGAAAAGACAAAACTGTGTTAGGAGCGCATACATAACACAGTGACTGCCTCTAGGTACAAGGAGGGAGCTGGGGTGGGGAGGGCAGAAAGGAGGCTGCTGGCTATGGGAAGTGTTTTCTGGTTGTTTGTTTTCTCCCTTGACTTCGGTTACATAACAAGTACCTGAGATGGTAACTAACAGGAGGGTTTGCTTTGGCTTGTGGTTTCCAGGGTTTCAGTCCATGCCAGTTGGCGCTGTTGCTTGGTCGGTGGTGAGGCTGAGCATCGTGGTGGGAAGTGTGTGGTGGGACAGAGCTGCTCACTCCTGGAGGCCAGGGGGCTCCACCCCATCAGGGCAGTGCTGCCGGGTGCAGTGTGCTCAGCCTGGTGGCTAACCTCCTCCTTTAGAGCGGAGGGGTAGGAACAGCCCTCAGTGGGACTGGAAGTGCCAACACATTTCCACCCCTGCCACCTCGTGCCCTCCTTTTGTTTGCCTTCCAGGAAGGTCACGGTTTTCTGCTGCTTCTGTGTGTCCACTGCAGCCACCCAGGCCTCCCTTGCTCACACAGCTTCCCACTTGTTCCCGCCCCCGGCCCACATACCGTCCCTGCACCAGTGACAGCTGTGGAGAAGGCGGTTTGTGAGGGAGGCACTGTTTAGCTGCCCCTACAGTGTAGCTGTGTTCGTATCTGTCCTCTTTAGATTTGTTCTCCACTGGATGCCGAGGTACAACTTTGAGGCCCTGGTAATCCAACATTGTCCTGCCAGATGGGTTCCTCATAAATATTCATTTAATGCTTTACCAAAACATCCTCCTTTTTTCCAAATGTTGTAACACTTCGGCTGGCAGATTTTCCTCTCTAACCATATATTGTGGTCAAAGGCTATGTCTTGTTCTTCTTTCCAGTGCATCCCCAGAGCCTCGTGTAATACCTCGCATATCAAAGAGGCTCAGCAAACATTTGATAAAAGAATGAACAGGGGGAAGGAAAACAAAGAAAACCAAGTGTTGTTTCGCTGTGTGACAGGAGCGGGAGAGTGAAAGCCACGAATGCACTTGGGAAGTTTCTCTCACAAAAAAGAAACACAGATATTTGGCAAGGATAAGGAGGAGTGACCCTCTTTGTAGACATAAGAAAACTTTAAGCCGTGACAGTAAAAAGCCATCGTCAACTATGACATTAGCCAAAACACTCAAAGCGGTAATGCACAGTGCTGACAAGGCTGTGGTAAAACTGACACACTCAGGCTGGTGAAGGTGGACAGTGATGTGACCTTTTCAGAAAGCAGTTTGGCAATATGTAATGAGAACATTAAAAATATTTATGCCCTTTCACTCTGGTAATCTCACTGAGAAGGTTAGCCAAGAATGTAACCCAAAAGGGGAGGCAAGATATCCGTTTATATTGACTGAAAAGGAGAAGCAACTTAGTATAGAAATAGTTGACTAAATCACGGCATCCAACGTGACAAAGTGCTGAAAAGCCACACAGGAGGCGATTCTGTTGAGAAAATTAATGCTCCGACTCTTATTTTTGCTGTAATATGTCAAAGGTAATGCGGATAAGGTATGTGCTAACAGGAAAGCCTCAGTGGTTTATGGGAGAAGGGTTACTTCAGCATATTTATTTCAGTTTTGAATTTTCTCTCTTTCATATGTTAGACATTTGAAACTTCAGAATTAAGCCAAAAGTACTGTGTAGGTGAGTGGGAACCGTCTGTGCATTGCTAGTTTTTCATTGGCATTCTCCACAGGGACGGAGGGAGGCCAGCTTGTGGATTAAGCTTGAAACAGTGAGAAAGTGACAAAACTAGAATTCAGATTCTCCATCCCCTCCTGAACAATTTGATGACCAATTGCTGGGGAACAGGAGGCGGGATGCAAAGATGGGCCCCTACCCCGGGTCCATAAAACGCTCCTGAGTCTCCAGTTTCCGCAAAAGCACAAAAGGCTGGACGTGCAGAGGGGGAGCACCAAGGTTAATACTTCAGTATCAGATCGACCCCACGTTTGCTTTTTGGGAAAACAGACTGCGTTTACCCTCCCACCTGGAACAACCACAAAAAACACCACACAAAACGGCCTGTGGGTCAGGCCGTGAGAGGCCAGAGCGGCCTTCGGCAGCCTCAGCTGGCCTTGGGGTCCCAGGCCGTGACTCAGGGAGGGGAGAGCGGGCAGCCACAGGTCCTCGCGCCCGCCCTGAGGAAGGAAGTGGTACCTACCTGTGAAGACACCACTGAAGGCTGGTGAAGGCTCATCTACGGGGATTAAAGGAAACTGCCCAGCATTCGCAGGGGGTGCCCCGCAGCCAAGAGGCAGACTGCGATTCACTGTGCGCTGAGCTCAGCCCTAGGGAGGTCGGTCCCAGGCCTGGAGAGAGTTGTCTTAGCTGAGTCTGTTCCAGGCCCGCCTGAAGACAGGAAAGCAAGGGCTTCCAGGAAAACGGAACAGCGCTAGCAGCCAGCTACCTTTGTTCTTTTCCCTCTCCGCTTCCTCCCCTCCCTGTGTTCAGAAATAATCTCTGTGATGTATGTGCACCCAAAGTAGTTTGCTTTTGCCTTTTTTAATGTTATAGAAATGAAATGATATCAAAGTGCTTTGTGAATGGCTTTTTCTGTTCAAAATGTTTCAGAATCAGTTTAAATGACTGCCAATCCAAGTTTAAGAATAGTCTTAAGGTTGGAAAACTAGCCAACACCCAACAAGGGAAAATCAATAATGTCTGACATTCATTTCAAAAGTACAGTAAGTCTCCAGCTGCTGAATGAGTTCTGTTCCAGGAGAACCTTCACATGTTGGGTTCATTTGTAAATTCAACAAAGTAAGACGCATACACCTTTGACACAGATGCACACTGTAAAGCATAAGAAAACCAAACACACAAAACCCAGGAAGTTCCTGAGGTGCCATCCCACTGCAGTGAGCACACAGCAGCACAACTCCGACCACGTCCGGCAGACGGTGAGCTGCTTCCGTGATTTCTTTGCGTCTGAGTTCATAATGCCAGGTCCATCCGTATCTGTGAAAGTTTTTAATCTATCAAGGCATGAAAACCACTAGAAATAATAACCACATAGGCAAGCATATACAAATTTTCAAAGTACTTCGTTCTATTTAAAGAATAATTGATTTATGCCAATATAATACTTTGTGAGGCTTATATGTAAAAATAAAATGCATAAAATAGCATAAAACAAGGAGAAATAGGGAAACATACTGTTGTAATGTTATTATATTACACATATATGTGAAGTTGTGTGACATTGTTTGAAGTTTTACTGCCAGTTAAAATATGTACTATAAATCCTAAAGGAACTACTAATAAAATAACCAGAGTTTTAGCTGATAAACAGCAAAGGAAATAAAACGTAATCATGAAAAATATTCAAGGCTGAAAGAGGGAAAGGGCAACAGAAAAGCAGTGGGAAAAGAAGGCAAACAGCAGTGCGATGGATTCAGACTTCATCCACACCCAGGACCATATTAAATGTAAATGACCTCACCTCCTCAGTTCAGAGACAGAGATTATAAAATATGATTGTTAAAAACACCTAATTCTATTCTGCCCACATGAAATGCAATTAAATATAAAGATACAAATGAGTTAAAGGCAAAAATATTTTTAAAAGTATGATGCCAATGCTAGTCAAAAGAAAATTTCAGTGATTAAATCAACATCAGACAAAATGAGTAAAGAATATTACCAAAGATTAAAGAGCTAATTACATAATGATACAGGAAGGCAAGTAACAAAGATGACACAATAATCCTAAAAACTTGTGTATCTAATAACAAAGCTTCAAAATATGAGGCCAAACTGACAGAATTGTTTTAATAAGCATAGAAATCTACTGTCAGGTATTTCAGCATCTCTTAGTAATTGATACAATAGATACAGAATATCAGTGAAGATACAGAGAATTTGAACAGTACTATCAACCAACTTGACATTTATAAAATACTCTACAACAGCAGAATAATGGTCTCCTCCAGTTCACAAAGAACATTTACCAAGCCAGAGAAAAAAAGATATGTATAGAGGACAAAACTAAACATGGAGCTGGGCATGGTGGCACATGTCTATAATCCCAGCACTCAGGAAGCTGAGGCAGGAGGATCATGCAAGTTCAAGGCCAGCCTGGGCTACATAGTGAGTTCAAGAACAACCTGACCTACATAGTGAGACCCTGTCTCAAAAAACCTAAGTAAGCAAATAATCAAACATGATATTTATGGATTATAAAACAAGTGTTAATATATTTAAAAGGATTCAAATCATATAAAGCATGTTCTTTACCTAAAATAGATTTAAATCAGAAACCAATACCACAAAGTTCTCTGAAAAATCCCTATTTGGAAACTAAATAAGATATTTAAATAATTCATGAACCAAAACAAAAAGTTATCCTTGTTGGACAGTGATTCTAATCCTCATATATAAAGGTATGAGACTTAAAGTAGAAAAAAGTGGGCCAGGGGTTTAGCTCAGTAGTGTAAGCGCCTGCCTGGCAAGCACAAGGTTGTGAGTTGGATCCCCAGTACCAAAAAAGGAAATAGCCAAAACAATTCTGAAAAAGAAAAGTTGGAAGACTAACTCTGACTGATTCAAGAATTAATATAAAGCTACAATCAGTCAATATTGTGTCAGTATAAAAACACAAAAATCAATGAAATAAAACCAAAAGAATAGAATAGAAAGTCTAGAAATAAACCCTCACCTAAGTAACCTAAGTACATCTAACTTTTTTTTTGTACCAGCGATTGAATTCACAACCTTACGCTTACCAGGCAGGCATTTACACCATTGAGCTAAATCCTGGGCAGCACATCTAACTTTTTAACAAAGCCATAAAGACAGTGCTGGAACATTTGGATAGCCACAAACAAAATCACAAACTTTGACCCATATAAAAGTTGTGTGTGATTATATAATGACAAAGAAAAAATACATTAGAATTAAAACATCTTATAATTTATATGGATCATAATCCAAATGTAAAATCTAAAACTTATAGAAGAAAACAGGAAAAACGTTTGAGTCCTGGCAAAGATTTCTTAAATACCATATCAAAAGCACACATTAAAAAAAAGTTGATAAATTAGACTTCATTAAACTTAAAAATTCTAAGCCAGCGATGTAGCTCAGTGGCACAGGGCCTGTCTGGCAAGCGCAAGGCCCTGAGTTCAATTCTTGGTAGAAAAATAAATAAATGAACAAGTAAATAAAATTAAACTTAAAATGTCTGCTCTTTAGAAAATACTATTGGGCTGGAGGTTTAGCTCAGTGGGCTAAGTGCCTGCCTGGCAAGCACAAGGTCATGAGTTCAATCCCCAGTACCAAAAAAAACCAAAAACAAACCAAAAAAATACCATTCAGAGACTGAAAGGATAAAAACCACAGCCTGGGTGAAAATCTTTTCAAACTATAGAAAGGCACCACATCTAGAATAAACAAAACCCTTTAAGAACTCGACAGGGAACTAAGGGTTAGCTCAGTGGCAGAGCACTTGTCTATATGCTGCAGACCCTGAGTTCTGCTTCTAACACAAGGAAAAAAACCACACTCAATAATAAGAAACTGAGAACAGGCAAAAGATACATGGATGACAATTACTTTGAAAAGATGAGCAGCTCCTTTAGTCACTAGGGAAGTGCAGAGCTAAAGATCAAGAGACAGCACTACACACTTAACAGAGTGGGTTAAAATTAAGAGACTCGTGGCACCACCCATTGGGAGGATGTGAAAGGCAACTTAAAACATGACTGAGAAGCTGGGCGTGGTGGCACAGGCCTGTAATTCCAGCACTCGGGAGGCTGAGCCAGGAGGAATCCTCCAAGTGCAAGGCTAACCAGGGCTACATAGTGAGTTCAAAATTATCCTGAGCTGCATAGTGAGACCTTGTCTCAAAAATCAGTCAAGCAAGCAACCAAATCAGTATATTACTGAGAACCTAAAATAGTAAAACTACTTTGAGAAAGAGCTTGGCAGCTTCTTAAAATGTTAAACATACCTTCACTTTTTGGTCTCCATCCCATTCCTGGGTATTTACTCAAGAGACATGAAAATTCCTGTCTATACATCTTATTCTACACAACATTCAAAGCTGCTTTCTTTGTGATAGCCAAAAACTGTACACATCTCAAATGGCTGTCAACAGCCAAGTAGATAGTTGTACATCCGTACGATGTAAAACTGTTCATCAGGGAAACATTGAACAGCTATTAGTATAGCAATGAGGCTGAAAGAAGCCAGGCCAAAGAAAGAAAAAACTATATGGTTCGGTTTATGTTAAACTCAGACAATGCAAAGCAATCTGTAGTGACAGAAAGCAGATGAGTGATGGCTTGGAGTTGGAGTAGAAAGAGAGGAAAAAGAGGGAGGAAATGAAGTGGTTGAGGACATTTGAGGGAGGTACATGTGCTGTGTTGGTGGAGCGATGGTCTCATGGATGTGCACACGTCATTACCACATTGCACTTTAATAAATTTGGTTGTCAGTTGTACCTCAGTAAGACTATTGAGTGTAAAAACAGGAAGATATGTGATTTGATATTAATTTTAGAATGGAAATGAGTTCATATTTCAATTAAATTGCCCATTCAACTTAATCAAAAATAAAACATAGCTGACACTAATGCAGGCTCAGAGGGCAATAATAGAAATACTGTTAGCTGTATTAGCAGGGCATTTCTGTAATTGTAGTCTGACTGTGAAAATAGGTCCAGTGTAACCCAGGAAAGAAGCAAATTAGTAAAGCACCTGTGTATTATAATTTGCTGCAAAAGCAAATTGTTAAAGAATCTCTTCTGCCTTAGGGGGTCAAAGACAAAAAGAGAGCTCATAAACACCTGCTAGACATCTGGAAAACCTTTAACGCAGTTTGCCAAAACACTTGTTGAACATATATTATGTTCTGAAAGCTGTGTTAAACATGTTAATTGTTACGTGTTTAGTACCACTTTGCAGTTCATAAAACAGTCTAGGAGGGTTACTATTTGGGGCGGGGAGAGGTTGTAAGTGGCAAAAATCAATATCCAAATGTTATTCGCTATTTAATTGGTCTCCTTTATGGTGCAAGTCCCCCCCCACTTACGTCCCAGTGAGTTACTGCTATTGCTACTACATGAAGAGAACAAAGAAATTATTTTTAGGCATTTTTCCGTTTTATTTCTTTAGCCATGATGTGACAGACATGGTACCAGGAGCTGGGGATACCCTCAAAGAGCTCATGGTGTAGTGAGAGAAACAAGAAATGAGAAACTACCAGATGGAGGGCAGGCTGTGACCTGCTCAGCGGATTTCCCGAGTTTGTGCATATGCAGTGCTTGTGAGCACTGTCTGTAGGTGAACACAAACTCTAGTAGAGTAGAATGAGAATGAGGCCTTGGAGAATCACAGAAGTTGAGACACCTGCTGCTGACCGTTCAGCACCAGGTTCTGTGTGCAGCCTCATGACCCAAGGTTCAAATCCTGAACCTGGGCCAGGGATTTGGCTCAGCCACATAAGCGCCTACCTGGCAAGCCTGAGGTTGTGAGTTCGATCCCGGTACCACCCCCCAAAAAAAATCCTGGACCTGAGCAAGATTATGGGGCATTGCCTGGTGGACATTTGCAGCCGCTCACAAATACTCAAAGCCGCTGGTGTTCAGTGGTAAGTGTCCACGTGCCACGATACACAGCAAATTCAAGAAAGGGCACGTGCACGGTGGTGAAGGTTAGGGAGTAACACACAGGACTTGGGATTTGGAGAGTTCACTCTGAGCTGACTTAACATCTGCTCTTATAAAGAATGCAAATGTAGTAAGCTTTCAGAAATGAAACCATTGAGTCTGAGACAGACACAAGGCTAAGGGAGCACAGAGGAAAACATGAGTACAGTACTCATATTTTACCCATAGGTGCTGGCAAGGTGCTTTCCTCATAGCAAGTGCTTTAAAACAAAAAAGTAATTGTTGAATAAGTAATAGCAGCAGCATGAGAGGGGCAGAAATATGTCTGTTGGATTTGGGAATTAGATCA